CCCCCCCCCCCCCCCCCCAAACCTCGTGAGTAACACGAGCTAGGCGTAAAGAAAGATTCGATACCGAGATCAGCTCTATCCGGCTTTTGGAACTGAGGCAGATGAAAATATCTCCATTTGATTATTCATTTGCTTTGCTTTCTTTTTTATTCAAAATAACATGATATATAATGTGTCGTACTAGCCGGTTGATGAGTCACTGAAAACGANGAGCTTGTTTAACTAAACTGCGTTTTCTTTCAGTTGAGAAAAGAGTGTATAAACCGTGTGAAATGCTGGGTCATCATACGATATAAGCATGATGAATTTGATATTTCATTATGATTGCTACTGCTGGACACGTGCAATGCAGTCATTCCATGGACTGGGATTTCTCCGAATGGGCAAAATCAGCAGGCCACTGTTATCTTTGAATGTTTTTGTTCCTTCGCGATTGATATGAGTTTTTGGTTCTCCCTTTTTCAATCGTGTACTTTCCATGCATCAATCGGCCACTGATAGACGATCAATTGAATCTGACATCTAACGCAATCAAAGAGATATGCGTGTATGAGGGAAAGCACGTGATTAGTTGCTCCCTTAAAACCATCATGTCTTTCGGGGTTTTAATTGGCAGCTTTGCGTTAAAAGTAATCGCAATGTGACAGAGGTCATAATTTTCTTTGATTGAACCAACTACTAGATCTCATTCTCCTCAAAAGTAACGGGGAGTGAACTGATTTTGGACAACTTTCTCGCGTCACGTTGTCAAATAAAATACACTTGATTTCCATTATAGTTTTGCAAACATACTGAACACAGTCTTATGTTTTCTAAACAACAACAGGTAACAGCTTTTCTAATTATAGACAGAACTGGGTCATCTATCCAAGTTTCGTTTTATGACAAAGCAAATCACATTTTTCAGTGAAATTGGTACTGTTTGACAACATTAGGTAGGAAAATGTCGAGCACAAGATGCCTGGTTGCTAGCGAATAAGCAAACGACCTACCAAATAGCTTCACTCCAGAGGCTAAAAATACCACAGGATTGCGTTCGTATCAGTTTAAAAACAGTTTAATATAATTTGATGGAAATATCTTGTACTTTTAATATTGCAAAATTATCTCCACTGTCGTAAAATATACCCAATGAATGTGAATCCTAAAATGATGGAACTGTGTTTGTCATGTATTGCACTCCTTTCCTAAAGGTCGATGATAGAGCGTAAACTTAATCAGAACAGAGAGTCTCTTGAACCAGAAACGGTGAAGTAATACAAGTTCGTAGACAACGAAGTGCTATACTATGGTGAAGTTTTCCACATCGCAGATAGCGGAATGGCAGCTTAGACGATTACTCATGTACAGGTGACCAATACTATATTAAATGATATGACTGTCATAAAGGGATCCGTGGAACAGAGGTCCTCGTGCATAACTGATTTATGAATCCTGTGTTAACGCATTTGAACCCCAGAATACTTGACCATTTAAGTTGTTTTCCTAATCTGCTCATAGAACCTGAAATCTGGCTCCAAATAAGAGAATTTCTTCAAATATATCATGTTACATTGGAACTAAACTGCTTTTGATCGAAACTCTTCAACTTTATTTATGACCATTTACATCTATCGATCTAGTTTATGTATGGTGGGAATGTATTTGCTAAGTTTGGTACGAGACCATTCCGTTCAAAAGTGCTTGATGTGAAATGTGCGCAAAGTACCATGCAATTGGTGCCGGAATAACTGCCATTCCAGAATTTGGTGTTCTTAATTCCGATATCTGTGTGCTCATTGGTGTAGCATTTGGAGTACTCGCATCTGAGTTGAAAAATTTCCTATTAGTCAAATAGTGCAAACCAATTGTGTATCATTATAGATCATGAAAAACTGTTTATCTAATATCGTTGCTTAGCAGTTGCTTAGCACGAATCGAGATCTACTGGATTTGAACAGCATGACAAACGTCTTTGATCGGTAACAATCTGGGACGGTGAAAACGCTTGAACTCAATAGAAAGTTGACGGCAATTTCGATTGTCCCATGACCAGTGTTTGAGATATTCGGATGATGATAATCTTACTTGATTATTAACTAATTCAACAAGGTACGAACAATCGGATGTTGTTAAAACTTGTCTTATAAAACACAATAACTGTTGGGTAATAGTTCAAGGGTGTAGGGAACTCGAAACTCATAACGATATGGCACAGCTGCTTATGGCTACAAAACGTTTACTGGCCACCTAATCAGAGTCGTTGTACGGCTTACAGGACGTTTCGGAGACGCCTCCATTTTTGATTGCGCATACTTTATATGCGTAGAAATGTTCATCCAGTTCTGTTCGGTTGCAGTTGCTTGGGTGGCAGATTGATGAGGAGCGTTTTGAGTTGGACGATACGAGACTAAATTTGCAGCTGGGTTGGGATAGTGCATCACATATTGACAGGATTCTTCGGACTGGCTTCTTGCCTCTTTTGCAGTCGGGGTATGGTGGGAGTACCCTTCACCCAGATAAACATTCATTTCTCCTCGGTCCATATTCACGGAATTATTTGTATTGCTCCATTGGGTCGCGATTGGGGATACGGGACAGTTGACAAAGTAAGTTGTGTTGCTCAGCCGTGGATTCGTCGAGTGCATCACTTGTGTCTGGTAACCATGTGCACAGTTATTATCCGAGGGGCTTGCCTTTCCGCATGCAGACCAGTGATAGGGGGACATTGAGGTGTGAAAAGGACAATTTGGATCAGTAAGCAATGCTGGATCACAGTTAACTGTCTGAAACTGGGATTTGACGATCGGAGAGCATTGATCCGTCGGGTCCATAGCCCGAATCACGTGACTGGCCCCGGGTAAAGTCGAATGACTGAAAGGGATCTCAAATGGCGACATATCTTCGACTAATGCGGGTGTGGGATAATTTTGCGTTTCCTCCAATCCGATGACGTCATTGGCTGATTTGAAAAAAATAGAAAATGCTTTGTGGTATAAATGAAAGTTACACGACATTTTGGAAAGTAAATAGGTGAGAGAGATTTTGTTCTGAATTTATTGGTCAGCAAGCTGGAGAACGTGGCTGGTTTGATGAAGGGAGAACATTTTGTGAAGATGAAACCGAAAAAATGATCAGTCGATATAATATGTCCATACAAAAGTAGTTATTGCCTAACTTGAAGAATACATGTTTTCACTGCTACGAGCGCACGTAAGAATCACTGGCAACAATTGTTTCTTCATCTTCTCGATTCCCCAGTGGTATCTGGAAGATGTTCAGATCTGTTACATGAGGACCTAATCTGATTGAAAGCACAAAACGCGGTAAATGACCAGAACGAAATGGCACAGAGCATCGAATCGAGGATAGTGAAGAACGTTAGAGCTTTACTTGAGTCGGAACATGTTTAGATGGAAAACGATCTTTCAATATTTAACAACAACAAAAACGTACCCTGAGATAATAACATATATAAAGTTATCTTTCGTTGGTCAAAACAGATTTTTACTCCGTATAATTAATTCATGATGCACTTTTTTCCCAATAACTGGTTCCAACGTATATTCTGTTCTACATAAGTGGTGGTACGGCACAGTAACTCCTTCGGTTTCAGTCGGCTGCGCTTGACCGAACATAGCAGACCGATTGCTGAACCCCACTCGTACAATNNNNTTGTTTGGTCTCTAATGGCCTCATGAATGCAAAACACTTCGTCAGCCCTTAGTTGCTTACAGATTCGAGCATGCACAGAAACAATAATCGACAGGTTCATTTTGCACTGCTAATATCACGTGTTTTATACTGGCTCTTATCATTAGCTGAGTCAGAACAGTACTACATACGTTGAATTTGCATAATATACTGCCTCAGACTGATTGGGAATCATGTACAAACAATTAGACTCAATGTGAACCATTTTCGTTAGTTCCATTTCCGTTCGGAATTAAATTCATATGATCTATAGAAAACAAAAAGATTGTTCACATTAGTTATTCTCCACTTCGAACTTTTTGTCTTCTAAAGGTGATGAGCAGTACAACAAACAATTTAATCACTTCAGAACTTATGGTGCAGGCACCACAGTGGACACGTGGCAAATCTACCTGAATTGGTTCCCTTGTTTGTAAATGCTTGGCCATGGATGCATCCTGAGATAACCTCGGCTAAGATTGATACGGAGCACAGAGAGGGAATGCACTAGTGTTCTGTAGTTTACAATTGTTGACAAATGAATTCCTTTTTTCAAATGCGCAGGTTGTTTTACCTTTGATATATCTCTGTTCTAGATGAAGAGATGTGTTACTATTCGGATAAAATGGGTATAACCGGCTCATTTCAGATTATCTGAATGCACTTGTCGTCTAAGCAATTACATGGAGTTAACCATAAAAATGTTCGGTAATAAATATAGTATCGAATGGATCTGGCATTTTTGAGATGTTTGTATATTCTTCAGACAAATTTATCATGATTCCAGTTTGGCTGAAACGATGAGAATCAGTAATTTATTGCCGCTACCGGAGGGCAAAAAGGGATCCGGATGGAGAAGGATAATGTGCACACGAATATATCCGTCCTGGGAAGTTCATAGTTTTGATATATTTATATAATATCGTAATATGTTACAGAAGCATCATTGATTGGATTCCGGAAAAAGCTCAATTTTCGCGGAAAGTGATAAACTGATACCTTTCGTATTGCGAGCCATCAGTGAATGTATTGCTACTTATTCGTTAAGTTCATTTTTGGGATCCCATTTACATCTGTTGTGGATGAAAATATGCCTTCATGTGCGTGTTCTGGAACCAAGAGTCGGTTCATTTCTTTGTTAGGCCAAACTAGTTCCATTTTAAATGAACCTTTTTCCATTTATGTCGTTATCGCTTTCTTTTTAGTGGACGGTTGATATCCAAGGCCAAACTAACACAAACGTGTCCGATGAGATAGAACAAAGTGTAGCAAGCTCCAAACACAGTGTTTCATGTGATCTTAATGAATATGCACTCTTTTTTTCTGACCAGACAGCAAAATATAATCCTCGAGGAGAAAATGCATCCGGTGATGTACGAGTAAAGTTGGCACGTAGCTCAATCCAGATAACGGGAATGTTTCAGATAAATTCTTTTTTGNGTTAGACATACCTTGCTTTGATGGATCGTTGCTGACAGGTAACTGGATTCCAGTGACACTGTGATACAGGTATTACAGTTTGGTATCTAATAATTAAATCTAATAGTATCATCCCTTAAAATGCATTATATTTGTGGGGGTAAGTGTGTTGTAAATGGCTTCTACAGCATTCCGGAATATTTACAGAACAAAAGTTTCTAGGAGTGAACAAATTTCCTCATTGGATGAATAATGGCAACTACTCTGTTTANCTCTGTTTAAATATGATCCAATGATAGAGTTCGTGAATCACAAAATGGTCAAGAACATTACTCACAGTAAGGAAATGAACATCCAAAACCCTGGCCATCAGTCAATTGATTTCGATTGCAAATATCTTGCTGAAGCTGATGCACTTCTGCTGAACTGGATGTCTTATTGCTCACCGTGCGACTACCCCAACTGCTGTCCACACAAAGCATCGGACTGAGACTGGTCTCAACGTGCTGATCTGTCACAGGGAAGAAACTGCTATGCATCGGAATAGCACCGGGGTAAGTCAATCCGTCTGGGACACACTTCCCGTTTGTATGTATCCCGTCGATTGGTGCACTCAGTGGTTTGGTTTGTTCCGGAGTGATAGCTTCCCCGTCCACACACGAATCGTTTAGAATACAACATTCGAGCATCAGTTCCTGAGATCTCGGGGGAGTTTTATGAACAAGCATGTGCGATTTGGACACGTGACGACGGATGCTGGCACGAAGCAAGAGTAACAGGATGACGATTGAAAAAGTTGAGCAAGCCGCCAAAATCACCGGGAACCACCATTTGCGATAGAAAGGAAGATTGGGGGGGNGCAAAACGAATAAGATTATGGGAAGTTGAATGTGCATTTATTTATGCCCAAAATGAGAACAAAACGAATATGAGAAATATAAATAATCGCTGCCCAGCTGTTATGTGTATTTGTAATCACATGGTAATCAATCCAGTGGTCATGGGGTGATTCTAATACGCACTGGACAAGTGAGAAAAGAAAAAACGCAAAGAAGGATACATACTTGATTCGTAGAAATTCGTTAGCATCTTGCAATTGATAATTTCTTTCATCTCTTGAAATTCAAAATAGATGAATAAAGGAAATTTATGGCGCTTAATACGTCCGTTCCGCGGTCTACTCATGAAAAAACAACCAATTGCAACCAATCAACAAATATAGGCATTGAATCAGAGCAAACAATTAATTACCATTTAAGTCAGTGGTGCAATAAAAAATGTACACTCCAGGTAATTATCAAATGTTATTGAAAGAAATTTAACGCAATGCTCTGTAGCTGAGTTGAACATAAATCAATCATTTGTATGTCCTTCCCCATTATTTTTGCGTCAACCAAAGTTTCGGTCTGTAAAGTCCACAAAGTTTCGTTTGTAAAATTTGGATGCGCGACTTTTCACTACATACCTGACAGGGGCATTCAAGGGGTAAACGATGCTAGCATACTCTAGCATGCTTGATTTAACCCAGTGAAGAGTAATATACTGTCGTTTGAGTTGAGGCTATAAGATAGACATTGTATAGACTCCACTTTGGAATTATCCATGGTCTCTGAGGTTGGTTGTTGGCCAACACCTGATAAACCTCAAATTAAACGCTGTGGGCTGCATTCCTTGTCATACAAAACAAACCTATCTTCCAGAGCTACGTTTGTACACGTATTATTCAAACCAATTTATTTTCAATTTATTTTATTTCACAAGTTAACCCCAATGGTGGTTCCTTTATTCTTTGTTCACGGGCATGAGTATCTTAAGTTTATTGTGGCTCAGATCATGAAGAGATTCTAACTGGTAAATTTTGCTTTCTCTAGGATTTACAACCTTGAAAATCTTCCATTGCAGCCAGTTCGAAGGACGTCCAAATAAGATTCTGTACCTGTCGACTTTAATAGGACCAGATGCTTCTCCCAATTCACTGCTTGCCCTGCTTGATTGCTTGCCTGTCTTTGTACGTAGACTACGATGATACGATCATATCATCGCCAGTTTTGCTTTATCATTTATTGTTAACTTTGGAAGATAAATATTTCATCAATGGCAAAATAATCACCATTCGAACTGCTAGAAAATCAATGAACACAATGTCAGCGAGTCACAAAAAATGTCGAAAAATCACAATTAGTCCATAAATCGGGCAAGAATTCGCTCAGAGGTCCCTCCGGCAAGCTTATGATTGCCCAAACACAAACACTGGAAGTTAGAAAAGAGAAAAGACAATTACTACCCGCTGTTGGCATCTGTTTCAAGCGCATGAGGGCCCAAACCTTTCGGACCAAAACAGTTAAATTGCTGTTGAACCGATTCCCCTCACCCGATTTTCCTGACTGTTCGTTGAAATACAAAAGTTAACGAAAAGTTCTTGTATAAATACCAGATTGTTTTAGGATGAAGCAAATGAGAAGATTTAAAAAAATATTAACAATGCGCAGAATCTGTCCTCTTTCTGTTCTAGAGAATTGGACAAAGGAGAGCCAATATGTGGATACTGGAATTATCATACGTCCACATTAGATTACTCGGGATGTAAAGAGACCGACTGTTGTGGGTAATCCATTTGGTTCGAGTAACTGGAAGTGCATTGCCAGTTGGTGTCACTTTGGAGGGTTCCATGTTATTCTATTTGTTCTGAATCAGTATACCTTGCTTATTTGATTGACTCTCAACCAGCATGAGAACGAAGCCCAAAAATTGCATCGTTATGAATAAATATCTCAAGGCGCAGTATCACGTACAATGGTACACATCTTGCCTCCCCCCCCACGCCAAATCCAAATAGCAAAACTCTGTGATTTAACGATTTATACTCATACCGATTCATTTTCTTTTTTTCACATGGTCATGGCCATATCCACAGTAAAACTGCTCCCGGATAACTTGGGTTATCACCATGGTCGGTAAGTGAGGTGACATAAAAGCACAGTTCGCATGATAAACATTGGGTGAGAAAGTCACACTCCAATCAGAAAACTGTACTGTTAGAAATACACGAATCATTTGAATCACTTGGCTACAGTTGTTCCAATGGTTTGTTTTTCTGGAATGACATTCATAATTGATTGGTTGGATGAGAAAAAAACTGTCCCCGTGTAAATGAGACGGGTTGAACCAAATACACTATCTGGTTGTCTCCTTGGGGGACTATTGTCTATAACGGTGAAACATTTCAAAGAGCACGGTACTT